ACACACACACACCATGACGGTATAAACCTACAATATTATTTATTTTTTCATTATTATTTTGTTTTATTTTCATTTTTTTATTATTTTATTATTTTTTTCCCATTTTTTGTTTGGTTTGTAATGTCCTCTTTAAAGGAGAACTATGGGGGTCAGGGCTTTTCCCCATAGTTCTCCTTAGGGTAACGGGAGGACACAAACTAGCGTCCTCCCGTCACCCTAAGCTCAGTATATCGGGAGGTGAGAGAACACATACCGGCGTTCGCTCACCTCTCGATCCTGTCACGGCTCTCTGCCGTGACAGGGGAGGGGCTGCCAGGATCCGCCCAGCTGCGTGAGTGACAGCTGGCTCCGCCTATCTAGAGGCAGAGCCAGCTGTGCCCGCCCCCTCCCCCGTTCGTTCCGCCCGTCATCGCTGGCGGATCGTAGGGGGGAATCCAGCCCCTCCCCTGTCACGGCAGAGAGCCGTGACAGGATCGAGAGGTGAGCGAACGCCGGTATGTGTTCTCTCACCTCCCGATCTACTGAGCTGACCTGTGACAGTCTCATTGTCACAGGTCGGCTAGAACTACGAGGTGAGTGAAAAGCCCCTCCCCCTCCCCCCCTCATAGTTCTCCTTTAAAGGAAGCATCGTGCACTGAGGTCTATATGTAGGGTTGTCACCTGTCCCGGATTCAGGTGTCTGGGTTTTAGCTGGCCTGAAACCCAGGATCAGCACATACAGGACTCAAAACCCGGACTGTCCAGGTGAATCCGGGACAGGTGGCAACCCTAGCTATATGTCAGCCGCCGTCTCTGAGCTCTCCCTCTGAAAATGCGCATTGCCTGGTATTTTCCTGGAGGTGAGCAGCGGCAGCCCCCCCACCCCTCCCCCTGTATATCTCAGTACAGGTTTCCTTTAAAAAGTCTCTTTGTGCTTTTCATACACTTCCATCTTTGTAACATGTTTTTCCCGTCTGCGATGCTGAGAAAACACTGGAGGCATCTTCACGCTTCAGCGGATCTCCTAACAAAGAACAAAACCTCCAACACACAGATATATATATATACTGTATACACACGGCTGCCGGGGGTTACTTTGCAGCCAGATATTAGGAAATGTTGCAGTGTTTCTGCAGAAATACCGAGGTGTACTGACCTCCTTCTGCAGAATGCTAAGTGCCTGGCAGTCATATTCATCCTGAGGCCTCAGTACTTTCTGAGTTGCTGAATTAGAATTAGACAGTCGAATTTCGAGGAAGCAAGCTTGTTGGCCGCCTGTGTTGTACTGACTGATGACTTTTGTACGTAGCGTGTATGAATACAGTCCGCTCTTTTATTGCTTTGATCTCCCTTTGGGCGCTTATCGTAAGCTGAAGAGCTGCTCTGAGTTGCTTTGAGCTGCTTTTTGCTTTCACTTTGACTTGTATTACACCCCATTCACGCTGAGCCAGTGGCGTCACAAGGGGGGTGCGGCCCGCACCCGGGTGACACCATTGGAGGGTTGACGCCAAAATGACTCAGTCATTTTGGTGTCACCCCCCTCTGAAAAGTCAGGCGCTCGGTCATGGACAGTATCAGGAGAGAGGAGGGGACCCGGCGGCTTACCTTATCCCACCGGATGACTGTCTCCTCCTCTCTCTGCCGGAGTCCATCACCAAGATGGCCGCCGGCAGGTATCAGAATACTGCCGCGCATGCGTGCTGACGTCTCGGCGGGGTGACACTCGGACACCGCTCCGGGTGTCACCCAGCCTCAGGACGCCCCTGTATAATCGCTGTGAAGCCGCGATTTTGCACGACACCATTGAGTCTATTGGAGCCGAATCACTCGCGACATCCGCGGGGAAAAAAGGGTCGTGTACGAGCGACGAGCTACAGGCGACATTGAGCTGTGAGATGTGAACAGCTCCATTGAAATGCATTGGACGAGCTGCATAGAGCGACATTGCGCGGAAACATGCGCAAAAATCACGCGCTGAACCGCTCAGTGTGAACGGGGCCTAAGGGGGGGAAGCAATTTAGAAGCCTTTTGATTGCCCATTTCAAGACAGACATGTACAGCTGATCCTGCCCGAGGTGTCACAGTTACCCAGCAGGTCCAACAATACCGATGTTCAGGGGAGTTGGTAGATGAGCAGCACTGGAATACTCTGCAC